CACCTGAAAAAGTGATTTCCCCTTGAATGTTTCCTATACCCCCACGTCCACGTGATGTCTGAACTGACTTCACTCCGACCCAGGACTGTAGCTTTGCTGGGGGCACCCCCCTGAACGCTAGCTCTGTGGGGCTGCTTAAATCAGAACTACATGATGATGAAATTTACGGGATCCATCCTATAGATCTCTGGTAGAGAATGAGTCAGCTCATGAACTAAGGGCATGACGTGACCATGCAAATCACACCGATTCCCAGTATCAGCCTCTTGGTCGCTAGACACGTGAGAACCTTTCAGTTTTGTTCGCTGAATTTGACATCACACCAAGGTTTTTTGACATGCTCACTCGAAAGAGATGGATGCTGTGTAGAAACTTTGATGATACACGGGGAATTTACTTTTTTACTATTACGGTTTCATATAAAACTATACAATAACATGTTGAAAAAGCTCTTAATTACAATCACAGAAAGACAGGTATCTGTTAGGTTTTCTGTCATGTTGACAGTCATACGCTACGGTCTTCAGGAAACTTTTCTGGAATGCACCCAGCGTGACAAGATCATCTCGGAACTTTTCCTGTTTTACAAACATGACTCATGGGATCGAATCAAACAGACCAGTGTAAACGAACTGACTTGGAATTCCCTCTGTATTCCACCAGACAACAGCTGCCAGTCAGTCGAGTTTATTACAAATATGTACTGTAGGATCCTTATCATCCTGGTCTGGTTTTGTTTTCCTTTTTACTTTTTCTGGCATGGCAATTTTATTTCAGTTTCAGACTAACTCAGTCACACTTGAGGTTCATAACTCGACAGCTATAGAATTATTCATCTTGAATATATGTTGTATGCTTAATAATAATAATGAATAAATAAGCAATAATTCAGTTATTAACGATTCTCCGTGTTATTTGATTAGCAAAATGGAACAGATAGAATCAACAAATTGTAAACATAAAAATATCAGATATTATAATATAAATAAGCAGAATATGGTGTATGTTACTGACAATTTACATCTGGATCAGGTTTCAGTGCATTTCAGTCATTACAAAGTACACATTATGATGCTCTTTTAGTGGAAGAAAGCCACTTACTGAATTTGCTTGAAGTTTTAATAAAAATGTAATTTTTTAAATTTAATTATGTAATCCTTTTATAAAAGCCGCAAGGCTCAAGGCATGATGCTTTATGAATCTAGTTATGACTGAAAGGGTTGTTCATACTCTGTTGCTTTAGACAGTGTTATTTTAGTATCACTGAGATACTATTATAGTTTTTATTAATATCTTGAATCTCATACTCTGTTCCTTTAGACAGTGTTATTTTAGTATCATTGAGATACTATTATAGCTTTTATTAATATCTTGAATTAGTTTTTATTTTTATATTTCAATTACATTTAATAAAGTAATTTCAATGTTTTGACATTTATATTATTAATATATATATATTTACTAAATGACAACTAGCAATAATAAAGTAAGTTTAAGATCTAATTTTAAACTTATCTAAAGTAGCAAAAGAATGTTTTTTATGGTTTAGTTTTAATTAATTCAAGCATGTTGTTGAATGCTGCTCAGTATATTATTTGATGTTTTCCTGCCCACACTGGAAGTGCACTACAACAACAAAAAAAGAATCAATGTGTAGGCAGCACATTTTATGTCTAGCATGTCACTTTGCATAGCATGCTATTTTCAGAGCCGCGCTACAGGCTGTGCGTTAACTTCCCACACACGCTGCCCCCGCATCACTGAAATGTCACCTCTTCCCCACACCAAATATCCCCTCCCTCTCTGACACAGGCAGCCATGCTCTCTTTCCTTCCCGCTGTGAGTCAGTAGAGCTCTTGAGGGGGTTTGGGGGTTGCCTACTTCTCCAGCAGTTTGACTGTGGGCCACAGAAACAGCTGCGAGTTGACTTTCAGAATCACATTATTAGAAAAAGCCACAAAGTTTTAAGCAGGCAGAAAAGACACAAAGATAGCAATGTTGTAACTCACAACCACAAAACTTCCTGTGACGGAATAGTTTGGTTTAAATGGCACAAAATTCACCTTGGGTTTATGCAAGGTTTTACCGACTTCTAAATTTAGAGTCAGTCAAAAACGATACCAATCTGCTACACACGTATAATACACAATATTAATACATAGATATTAACGTACTAAATATATATATATATATATATATATATAAACTAATTACTGAATGTTGAAGTAACTACAAAATGACGGCTTTATCAAACAACACTGTTTATTTATTTATACATTCTAAAAAATGCTGGGTTGTTTCAACCCAACTTTGGGTCAAATATGGACTAACCCAACCGTTGGGTTAAATTTTTACATTACATTTTTAACCCAAAAGTTGGGTTAGTCCATATTTGACCCAAAGTTGGGTTGAAACAACCCAGCATTTTTTAGAGTGTATATATGCTTCATTAGCAGAGGCCTGTTACAGTATTAATATGTTATGGTATCTGGTCTAGCCAATGGTGCACATTTCCTAACCCTCTTCCTGGAAGCAACCGAAGGGTGCAGTTCAATTCGACTGTAAGTGCCCTGCAAAGTGGACGTCACAGAGTCTTCCAGCATCTTCACTGAGATTGCAGTCTGAAAGGAAACAAACATGAAGGACACTGCCAATAAACAGGAAGTAGTGAGGGAAATTTGGGTGGGTCAGATGCGGGAATATCCAAAATGTGCACTGTTGATGTACCTCCTGGAACAGGGTTGGAAAACACTGCTTACAGCTTTCTGGTAAACAATCCTTACCCCCGATGATAGCACCTTTTGTTTATTCAGCTATGAATAAATCCAGCTTAAGTTAGTTCAAGTTTTGTTCTCATCCAATGGTGTCAGTGCAGTCAAATCGATAATGCAGTATTACAGCAGGGTGATCTAATCCCTTCATTCTTGGAGGTGGGGAGCAACATGGAATTAACATGGGCATCCCGACTGAAATATAGTCTTTAGATCTTACTGTATCAATCCAGTGGCGTGCACTTCATCACCAACGCTAAACTACCCTTTTGATCTTATCGAGGTGCCTCCGGACCGCGATTTCCACTGAGGGTGAATAACCAGCCTCAATACCCTCAATACCACGACTGTGGTGAGACTCTTGAGCAAGAAGCGAACCCTCAACTGCTCCCCAGGTGCTGCAGCAATATGGCTGCCCACTGCTCCGGGGGTGTGTACACTACTGTGTGTGTGTGTGTGTGTGTGTGTGTGTGTGTGTGCACTTGGATGGGTTAAATGCAGAGCACAAATTCTGAGTATGGGTCACCATACTTGGCCACACGTCACTTCACTTTCACAAAGAGCTTCCGGAAGCATTCTCACCTGGTGTCTACACACCAGAGTGTGTACCTCTGGGTTCAGTCAGGTGGCAGATACCCGCACAGATGCCCCTGTTGTGGGAAACATTACACAGAACCTTCCTATGCAAGCATGAGGTGCTCCTTGTAGCACATCAGTGATAGGCCACAGATCTCTCTATCCCTCAAGTTCCTAGTAGGAAGTTCATGGCAGCTTTCCCTCAGGACCGACCTTGTCTTTCAGATTCGGGTGGTTTTGTTTAGCACCCAGATTCAGCTGCAGCTTTGGGTTTGGACCCTGGATCCAACCCTTTTCTAATGGATTGTGAACTTGCAGTTGTTCACACAATTGCCAGAGTTATCTCAACATGGCAAGCCTATACCTTTTGTGGAAACCTTTCCCTTTATGGTGTAGGGACCATGGGATTGATCCTATTCTTTGATATTTTTGTTGCATAAGGGGTTTTCTTGGACTGGCTGGTTTCGCAAGGTTAAATCTGCAGTTTTTCTATAGCAGCTTTGACTACTTTTTCAGAGTAGTATGCAGAAATTTATGAAAAAAGTTTTGTTTCTTTGGCTAATGAAACTCACAGCTACGCCCATGTCATTTTGTGACTTTGTCTGTCTGTTGTGGTGAGTTGATAGTGGCGTCTCTAGTGGTTGTCTAGAATTCACCCACCCAACTATAGTTACGTAATTAGTTTAGTAACAGCCATTGGCATGGTAACGTTGTTTTGCTACCAACACCAAAACCATCGTTACTTAATTAATACGTAATATACTTACATATTACTACCTGAAGTACTATTTTTTAAGCACCTTCAAGGGTTTCTTGTTATAACATGTATTTCAAGCTACAATAAAGCAAATAAAGGTAAACAGACACAGGACAGGTGTTAATGTTTTTCTATTAAAAATAATTTATTCCAGGAGTGGGACCACATATAAATAATTCTTGAAACACATTACAGTTAATATTTGCTGTGAATAAATACCAAACAAACCAAAAAAAACAACAAGGCTTTTCATACAATACTCTATATGAAAGGTTGCACAAAATTTCTATCTTGTCATCTATGTTCCTCTAGGTCTATAACTGGAATGTCACTATGTACTGTACGTCAGAAGTACCGTTCCTAATTCCAGAGCAGCTTATTAAGTATTGTGCAAGTTTGTGATGATCTGAACTGACTGAACAGATCCAGTAGTTGACGAGTAGACACTCTTGAATTTATAATTCAACTGCAAACTTTTCTCCTGTGTATCATTTATCCAAAGCACATTTCTGTATAGGCCCACATGAATCGAAGCTAAATGTGCTTGCACAATATTGGACTTTAAGGATGGGAATGTTTAACACGGACAGTTAGTTCTTTATAAATGATGCCACAGGAGCTAACGCGATCCTTTCTCGTTGCGTCTGTGCAGATATTGCAGAAATATTCAAATAGATAATGTCAGTTTGTGCATACTAAATGGACTGAGGCATTGTGTGTTTAAAGGAGAGTAGTGCAACCTAAAGAATGTGGCTGGGCGAGAACGGCGAACGGGGAGTTCACAGATCTAGGAGCGGACACGTCTTACCTGGGTGTGTTTACATTTGGACTGATTTGTTTTCGCTTGGCTGTTTATCCAGGCGGGGATTTCAGCCATCTCATAGTTTGTTCTTGTCAAAAATGTTGACGCTTTTTTTTTTGGCATGGCCATTCCCTTCAGCTTAATTAATTTTCATCTGCTCTAGACATCGGGGAGGTGTCAAGTATCTGGTTTTCATTGCACTTAAGGAGTTTTTCAGCCACAGAAAAATGAACACATCCATTCAATACAACAGACCAAGTCATATGAAGTTTAGCAAGGCAAGCAAAAGTGAAAAATAGTTTCAAGAGCAAGAAGGACTTTTGAAAATGGTAAACAAAACATTCTCAAAGGCAACAGATCCGTACTGCTTGCAGACATCAAATGGTGCAGCAGGAAATGAAATTCGAGCTCTGCTTAGCAAGCTCTCATTGGCACTTAACCTACATTTTATGAATAAACTATCAAATGCTGTCCTCCGGTGGTTTCTGCATACCCTGTACTTCCAAAAGGCCTGTTGGCTTTCTGCAGGCCACAGTGGCGAAGTACATTGGCTTAGACATATCTTTCAGTTTATTAAACTTTGGTCAAATTTGTTGCTAATCTGAAATCGTTAATTGGTACACTCCTCAATAAACGTCTGCAATTAATTACCCTGTTCAGACGCCACACCTGTGTGACTAAACGTCATTGTGTATCATTAGTTTCTGTATGCTAACATCTCACGACGGTCCTATACACATGATACAAATGAGCAAAACTTCATTCGAGAGGTAATCCCCAATTCTACAGCACCACCGGGCTTCTTTAGGCCCTGCCCAATATAGGTGGGGGATTTTGGGCAAAAAGTTCCTCGTGTAAGAGCGTTTACCAGCATGCACGCGAACGTGCGATGAACTGGGCCCTTTTTAACATCGAACCGTTCTGTTAGCCTCGGTAAATCTGCTTGAAGTGGTCACATTCGTTACAGTAGCCTTGTTTGTCTTGGTTGGCGTAGTGGTCGCAGCCCTGCGTCTTGCAGCGCTGTTTGCTTTTCTCTTTGGGTGCCTGGGCACGCCGACCCTCTCGCTGGCCGCGGCTGAGGCAGTCCGGGCAGAGGTCCGTGCAGCCAGGGGACAGGTTCTTACAGCCGCCGCGCCGACACTGTGCTTGGGTGAGCATCGGAGGTGGACATGCTTTCAAGGCCCGCTGGACAGAAACAACAGAGTTTGTCAGTGCTTCAGAAGAGCCAAACTAACCCCACAGCAACAAAACAAGGACACTTACTGTGACGAGAGGTGGGGAGTGAGAGCCCCTGCTAGCAGCTTGGTTGAGCCTAGCACTCTGTTCCTTCACAAAGCACTTGTTGCAGTAACCCTCGAGCATGGCCTTTCCCTCGGCGCCACAGCCCTGACCCCGGCACCGCGGACAGTTCTGAAAGCCCGCCTCGGATGTGTGTCTGGGCTGGACAATAGCAGGGGTGGCCACTGCACAAACAAAAACAGCCAAAAATAATAAATCACACATTTGCTCTTCTGGTTGACTTGTCTATGACTTCATTCCTGTACCCAACAGGACGTGGAGACATTACAACTGATTGCATCTGAAGTGATATTTCTTGTTCATGAGAGAGTTACAAGAAGAATTGAGTGAATGCTGAACAGCTGCACTTACGGTGATTGGTCTGGTAGTCTAGATAGCATATAGTGCAGAACCCCAGCTTCTCTGGCGTCCCAAAGAATTGGCAGCCGGAGCGTTTACACTGCCGTGCAGCGGGCGTCTGCCAGGTGTGGCCGGTGTTGCCAGTGCGCTCCGTCTCCCGATGCAGTGCCCATACTGAGGCCTCGGTTCTAGGCTCCTGCTGCTGGGTGTCCCCCCTCTCGGAAACGGCAGTCCTCTGCATGCAGGGTGGGCAAAGACCATTAAATATCCTAAAGACCTCCTGCCGGCACATAACACATCTCTCGGTGTCCCTTTCTCGTTCTGTCTCCCCCTCCCTTTCCTTCTCTCGCTCCCGGCTGCCTGACGCCCACCAGCCGTGAGAAGGGCCTTGCGGCGGCCCATTAGCAGCCGATCGGTTTTGCCTCGCCGTAAAGCAGCGTTCACACAGCCCGTCATGCTCCACACTGAGAGTGAACAAGCATCCGGGCGTCTTGCACTTCATGGCATGAGTCTCACTGTAAAGGCTTAGACTGGGGGCCGTAGGGGGCGCGGAACGTGGGCTGGGCAGGACGGAGCGCTCCAGCCTCCCTCGGCTCTCGGGGTCCGAGGACGAGGTTTGATTTGTGGCGGAAATGGCCTCCGGCTTACGACCCGCCTGTCGCTTTTCGAAGCACTCGTGACAGTGGGGTTGAGTGTCCACCGAGACGTAGAAAGTACAGCGGGGTGTGGCACAACGGATCTCAATGAGAGAGAGTTGGGAGACTGAGAAGGGAGGGGGACGCTGGGATTGGGGGGCCCATAAAGAATCCTTATCCTCCTGCCAGCGCTTATATTCATGGTTGACCAATTGTAGGTAGTCCTCCATCAGGTTCATGTCTTCAGGTAGGTTGCCTTCATCCAGTCTGTTGGAGGAAGGGTTCAAGATTTAAAAAGGAACACAGTAATGTCCCACAACCTTTTAGGCACTTGTGGTTACATTTAGGAAATGCTGGAAAAGATGTTTTTATCAAAAGTACATGGTACACCAATTAGTACAACTGCACTGAAACAACCTGGGTTGCTTGGACCAGGCCACGTAAGCAAGAGCTAGCTCATACCTGGCTGCAGTGATAATCTGTGTGGGATCGTAGCCCAGGCCAATGACAGGGATTTCTATAAGCATTAGGTAGTCTTTTAGCAACTTCTCCTTCTGTTGCTGCTCCTTTTCTGTCAGAAAGTGCACTCGAAGATCTTCAAACCCACCCCGTCCAGGGTTTATCAACGGCACAGCACGGATCTCTGAATGGGTCACAAACATCAAGTATTAAAATACACTGGGCCAAGTAGTAAGAACACATTAAGGAGTAGCACAGTGTCCGGCGGCATACCTGGGCCGCTGTCTTTGATTGTGATCAGAGGTGCAAAGTGCTGGGAGTCGTAGCCAAGCACTATGGGATATTTGTAGCATTCTCCTGGAGGCCAATGCAACGGCAGGTATATGCCCCCGACATTGAGGGGTGAAAAGGAGGAACCAGACTTCATACTTCTAAGTACTTGGTCTGTTGAGAAATAAAAAATTGGTCATATATTATGATCATGTTGATGCACTTTACTTGTGTCCAAATCAGTCAGTGCTCCAATGAATAATTGTTTGTGTAATTCTATTGAAATGCTCCTTATAGAAACATCACTGTATCGGTTACTTACCTGCAATAACAATAATTGGTCTCCGGAGAATATTTGAAAGCACAAAGATGTGAATATCCTCTAATGAGTCAAACTGTAGGCCATTACTGCTGGACACTGGAGAAGCCATTTCTACAATCTTCACCCATTCCTCCTCCCAGTTCTGAGAAACAAGAAACATTGCAAATATTCATGAGTTTTACCCTTGTCATATTGAAAAAAAGTTTAATAAGGAGTTAAAGAGGTTCTGAAATCTCTAATGGTAGTACATTGAAAGCTGAATGTGTCACATTTGAGGTCGTCGACTTTTTATAGCTCTTACTTTTTTAGCTGGCTAGTTTCCGCCACAGAAATGACCATTTTACATGTACCCTGTGAAGGTGGAAGTGCTTACCAAAGTGCTGTATCGCAGGCCAGTCTGAGTGAACTCCTGAGAGTGCAGCAGCTCTGTTTGAAAGCGCATTCTAAAGTTACTAGTGTCTGTTTCCTTCAGCACTGCATAAAGAGCCTTTCGCAGCACCAGGTCCGTGTCCTGAACCCCCAGCAGGTATTGAGAAGTTGCATGGAGCAGGCAGTTCCCATCACCTAAATGAAAGCACACAAACACAAATTACAGCTCAGGAGAGTTGCTAGTGAAGAGCTTGTTCTTGTGGTGCCATCAGGACGTTATTTTCCTCAGGCCCCAGAGTAATTAAACACAAATGGGATCACTTAGTTTTTGGAACATGAGCAAACATGGCAGCATGCAGATATGCCATTATACATTAGTCGCCCCGAAGGATACCATCTCCTTACATATACAGTATATGTATTATAATGCTGGCAGATAGGCTGCAACAAATTTCCCTGGGAATCTGACTTTGAAAAAAACTAATTTTCAAGGTCATTGAAGTTCATGAAGGAGACATTCACGGCATTCAGAAAAAGGCTAAGAAACTTGCAGTTCCTGTTTAAACATCATCTAAATTGTCTTAACAGAGAGAGCCTTAGTAACCGGTTGACGTGCATTACAACAACAAAAAAATTATACTAAGAAAATGAAAAACTACATATTAAATTTTTGCTTTGTTGTTGCGTACCTAGACAGCAATATCTTTTACACCTAAAGGTTAGTTCAGCCCTATTTTTCAAGTACAAGATTAAGGAGGAGATAGAAGCAATACAGGGGATTTCCACAGAGGTATTAAAACAGATTAAAGATACCCATTTCATCCGACTGCGTGCATATTAAAACAGGACATGTAACCATATCTCTGCAAAAGCAATGAAATCAACTCCTCAATTACACAAAAAGAAATTTGGACACGTCAGGCTACCTAGCAAAAATTTTTTAAAAACTCACTCTCTAGTCTATATACTGTAAATCAATAACTTCACTGTAACCTGTAACTGTAGATCAAAGTAAAGAGAACTCGAACACTCAAAGAGCATGCGCTGCAGAGCTGTGTTCATGGCCTAGATTCTGCGTTCCTTCTGATGTTGAGCAACATGTGTGCGCAAATGCATTTGCATGTGTGTGCACTTGTGTGAAACAGCCTGCGCACAACTGTGAGGAATTTCCCTAGAATGTGATTCTCTGATTAAGCGCCGTAAGGGCTTCACTTCAACTTTTTCTTTCTCTTGTCTCCTCTTGACACCAGAGCCATGATATAAAGCGTCTGGACTTTCCAGAGAGGAGGGGCGACGCTCTACAGGAATGCTTGCGCCCGTGCCATTTCTAGAGTCGATAAGGGAAGTCTGAACATATGATCTAGTTCCTGTTCTTTAAACCTGCGTAATTGTCTAAAACCATGGGCTGTGCCTGCACCTGCTACCAACACAAAGGCCAAACATTCCCAATTAGAAGAATGTTTAACTGGTCTATAGTTTATGGAAACTATTTGTACAGTGCGTTGTTTTGTTTCTTGTTACACAAGAGAACGTTTCCATATGACCCTTAAAGCGTAGATGAACAAAAAAAAATTATAATTCTACAACACCTCTAAATCAAACTCTCCTTGACATAAATGAAGAGATCTGAATCTGTATAGCATTACAGGGCCAAACACTTTTAAAGTAGTGATGCTAACTTAATATCTAACTTAACCTCATTTTTCAGAAGCAAAGTAGTTTTTCCAGTAACAAATTTCCAACAAGTTGCGGTTTTAGGTTGCATTGCTTGAGAATGCAGATTTACAGCAGACTGAGCTTTCATGTGTAGCACTGACAAGTCAGATTCATTTAAGTGAAAATTCATTTGGTCTTTTAAGTTTCACCAGTTTGTTAAGTCCTTGCACATTAGGTCTCTACACACCATTTAACTCTGCTTTATTTGATTCAATGTTTCTGCATTGAAACACTGCATTTGTAGCTCAAATTTAAGCTTGATTCTTTTGAGTTACATATTTTTAAAGATACTTTTTGTAAATAGTTAGCAGTGTATAATCTTTTTCATGTGGGTACCTTGACTGTATTTAAATACTTTACCATAAATTATGAGAAAACTTGTCATTTGGAAAGTTACGGTTTCAAAGTAGCTTCCCCAACACAATAGAAGAACAGAAAATGAACACACAAACCATGGACACAACATACATCTGCTTTACAACCACATTCAGCAACACTGGTCACAGGAAATGATTAAGCATTGTGCAGATATGGTAATATTGTCCACTTTACTGTTACATTTTCAAATACACTATAGAGGCTCAAGCTGAAACAGAGCAGAGCATGGACAATTTTAACACTTTTCAAATTAATTTACACAGAAACTATTCAAGCTCAAAGCTCTTGTCAGCAGTCATTATCAATGTCAATTAGAACAATCACAACTCATTAGGGATGTAACGATTAACCGCGAGCCGGTTGAAAATCGATTAAAATATGTGACGATTCAAATCACGATTCATTTAGGTGTAGGAGTTTATATGAATGTATGTCTGAGGGGAACTTACTGTCTTTCTATGGTATTTTTTATTTTCCTCTTGCCTCTGTATAATGCATATTAAAGTTCATAAGTGCAGCACTGCTTTGTTTACAGCGGAAACCAAGGAAACGCTTTAAGCGCCACCTGCTGGCAGAGAGTGAATCTGCATCTCATTCAGCTCGTCTGCTGTTTCTGTTTCATGCAGATATTTTTTATGCATAGTTCAGAAAACTGAAGTCAAACCATTCTGTTTTTGCTTCAAATTTCGAAACTATACAATGTAATTTAGATTAAAAACTGCTCATGTTGCATGTATGCAGCATCTGGATCATGAATAAAACGCAGTGGTTGCCTCTAATTTTAAATGGAAAGAGCCTTAGTTTGTTAATATGAAGAGATTTCTTTTATTTGTGTTACTTATTTATTTGATTTGGGGCTTGTTTTACAATTTCAATTTAGTTTTGTTATTTACATTTACATTATATTTAAATTTTGTCATTTAGCAAACACTTTTATTCAAAGCGACTAATAAATGAGGACAATAGAAGCAATCAAAACCAACAAAAGAGCAATAATTTACAAGTGCTATATTAGTATATTATTATAGTGTTATATTTCAATTTCACAAAGAAACGTACAGTATTTTGTCCAATGTCCAAGCAAAAGACACATTTAATTTATAATTTGTCTTAAATCTCATTTTGTAAAAAAACAAAAAAAAAAACAAAATCGTGAATCGAATTGAATCGTGAGTTGAGTGAATCGTTACATCCCTACAACTCATATGTTGTGAAACTGTAATAGAGTATAACTGTAATAGTAAAGTGAATAAATATTTGCTAAATACACACTAATAGTAATCAGAACAATGTATTCTGTAGAGCAAACAGTAGACCAGTGCCACAAGCAATGATAATGGGTTTGATTTCCAGGGAATGCATGAACTACTAAAAAAATAAATGTAAAGTTTAAATGCAGTGGAAGTCGCTTTAGATAAAAGTGTCTGTCAAATGCATAAATGTAAATGTACAAAACACACATATTTAGACAAATCCTCAGCTTTAATAGTGATGGAAGATTATTGATCGAACTAGCTGATTAAACTTAAAATCCTAAAGAGACACTTTATAAATGCATAACATTAGTAAAATACAACACCAATCTAAAATCACCCGTTCATGCAAAGATGCGTTTTCTGTCCTAGGAAGTTGTTACATTCATTATTACATTACGGATATTACATTTATTGAGGGGTGCACTTATTCCAGTTCCCCTCTGTATTCGGTTACGGGTCATATCAATGCAATCTGCTTTAAACAGCATGTTCCAGTCTGACGCTTTCATAATCCCATATGATTTAAAACAGGAAATACCCGTTTCACTCTGGTGTCCAGAAAAACTAAAAAAAAATTACCAGAATACAAGAATGAGACACTATCCACTACCAGGAACTAGTACTGTTCTACACATTATACTAACACAACTGTGTAAAATACTGACACTTACAAACAAACAGCACTAGCTTGTATGTGGACTATTTCAGACAAATGCTAATGTAATGAAAAAATAAGATACGTGTAATCTGCGTTTACCTAATTTCAGTTACAGTAACTAGTGACTGGAGCATCAATGGCAAGTACAGAGAAGTTTCCCTCGCAGCATTACTCATAAGAGAAGAGCAATGCGTCCTGACCCTGAGAGAGCAGGAGAAACGTCAGAGCCATAGAGCGCTCACTGTGAGCCCTGCATCACGCCACGGCCCCTTAAATCAAATTGTGCTGGAGAATTAAGGGGGAAGAACATCAGTGTGACAGACAGGGCAGGATTTTCCCGTCTGCCGTGAAGCCCTCATGTGCCAAGCATTTCAAAAAGCACGTGGTCAACCGGTATGGCTTTTTTAATAGCGGAGTACAATGAAGATGTACATAATAATGCCGCCATGAACTGAATACTTATTTTATACAATGAGAGAGGTATCACTTCGGCACAAAAAATGATTAAATAATTGGTATCCTGGCTGATATATATCGGCCTGTCATTATCTCAAGTCACCGAGCACTTATATAGTGTATCAGACCTATAATGCATCAATAACATAAATCGATACAAATGGTTTAAAAGATCGTCATGGGAGAAAGAATCCAAGTGTTTCTAATGTCAGCGTTTGAGAAGAAAACGAAGCACACAGCGCTCGCACTCACAGAGAGCCGCCGTTTCTAGCTGATAAAATCATGGCATAGTTACCGTTGGTCCTCAGCGGCACCAGCTTCTTGACCTCGCGGCACCAGTTCAACCTCTTCTCCTGCTCCAGCGAGCTCTGCATGGCCCGGTCCAAGATGGCGGCCTGGATGACCTCGCGGAAGACCTGCGGGAACTGGCTCATGCGGATCATCTCCAGCGTGTAGCGGTGCATGCTGCGCAGGTGATGGAGCAGGCCGCCGCTGGCCGAGGGCTTGACCACATCGTTGGGCACCCGCTCTCTGATTTTTTGGAAAGGAAGCGATGTGTCCCCATGGCAACAATAGAACGTCTTCTCCGTTTAATGTCTCTAATCGCTGATAAGCGGCGTCTTCGCAAACAATGGCTGTCAAGTCCGTATCCGTCCGTACGAGGCAGACTGCGTTTAAGCGCGATACAATACGGGAGAAATCAGCCTCGCTCGGTTTAGGACACAGTCTGGATACATTAGAGAGGCGAGAGAACGGGCGGCGATGAATCGCGCAACTCTTACCTGTTCAATATGTCCGTATCCACCAACAAAGCCCATAAGATGCTCTGGCTCCACTGCTACTTCACTCAGTCCACTTTAATCGTCCATGGCTCTCTTAGAGGTCCACTGGATTTCACTGCTCGTATGAGACGCGTCCAAAACACGGCGGAGTCTTTACTCTAGTTAAGACAGCCCGATTAAAACCAGTACATAAAAGCCAGTGGGGATTTCCATGAGGTACTTTCCACTTTCACAACCCATTATAAGCGTTCTCCTCGACTCATCCGCCAGGGGGCGCACGCTGACGTTGCACGCTTACGTTACGTTGGGTTTGCTGACGTAAAGCTCGACGCATGTTTTGCCACACCCATAGTACTGGTAGTTAGGTGAGATATGGAAACACAACAGTGGAAGTCCCAGTCTGTGCAATTCACACCCATGTATGTATGGTTTAGTTCCATTTGACAGATGTAAAGAATGAATGCGCATTACAAGAAACGCAATAGTCTTAGTCAGTAGGCTAGCAGGGTTACATAAGGGCCATCCTACCTGACTTATTCAATGTAAGGTGATTAAATGAATGCATTTTAATATATATAGTAACAAAACTGACAGTTCGAGCTTTGTGCTGAAATAACTGTGAAACTAAAATGCTTCTTATAGAATTTAATGCTTGCATTTCTACAAATATTCACTTTCAATAGTTTGCTATACAAAATCTTGGCAACAGGGCCGATATAGGCATAGTGGTGCCTACCAAAAATAAATAAATAAATAAAATAATGCTAGCCTATAGCTTATTCTGTACATTTGGTTTTCATCAAACTGTGTGTATTTGCTAATACAGCAAGGCGAAAAGGAGAAGCAAGTTACAGGATTTTATTTTTTTTTATTACCATATTAACATATAATAAACATCAGCATCAAATGTACACTTTATGAGAAAGACGTTTTGTAGAATGACCCATATGTGTACTGGGCAGAAACTCATGAACACATGATTGATGATAATGATGTGGGAGTAAAGTTTACAACTCAAGATTCAACTCAGCATTCAAGAGAAGCTGATCAGAAGTTCCCATCAGCAAAAGTTCAATAAAGAGTGACTAACATTTCATTTCTTGCGAGGGTCGTTCATTCTGTACATTCACTCCACTCAAAAATTCTAGGTAACGCTGGAAAATATATTTTATTATTAACCTGAACAAACATTTTTACATTTTGCTAAACTAGCACTGACCTACTTTCTCGATCCTTTTCCATCTTTTGACATGCCCTGAATTCATTGTGCCACTGTGTTGTTAGACAGATTTATATTCGTTTAATTAAAACATTACACTCTATAGCGTCCATATCAACTATAGACGACAAAAGATTATATTTCAGCCATAAAGGGTTTAGAACATATTAAACACATTTTGAAATTAATCATATATTTTACATAGTTTTAAAGAACTTTTGATGTGTTTTCTGTCCATTGACACCAAGCAGAACCTTCATACACCCACAGAAACTCCAAACCCGATTTCTTTTAAAGGGGTCATATGATGCTGCCAAAAAGAACATTATTTTGTGTATTTGGTGTAATGAAATGTGTTTATGCGGTTTAAGGTTCAAAAAACATTATTTTCCACACACTGTACATTATAGTTTCCCCTCTACCAAGAGCTTGTAACACTCCAAAGAGAAAAGAAAGATTGAAATCGCATCATATGACCCCTTTAAATCATATCAAATAAATCTAAAATATTATCATCAATATTATTATATATCAATATCGACAATAAGCTTGTCCAATGGCAAGACAGTTTCAATCCCTTCTCTAGAAGCCTGTCACTCACATGAAACTCCAACCGACAAAATCAAGTCCCGTCCTACTTTTTTTCTTCATTCGATGAGCTTTTCACTCAGACATACATTTACAACAGGGAAGAGAAGTCATTCACAATATCTGGTTCAAGCCGACATTAAAGCAGCACTATGTAACTTTTTCTCTGTGCAAAATGTGTTAAATGTATATAATGAGCGAGTACATCATGAATTCATCTTCCAAACCGCGTTTTTGTCTTATTCCGAATCACTACGGTACACTTATAATAAGTACTTATATTCGGACGATTGTGGCCTGGCTTGTAACACTCCAAAGAGAAAAGAAAGATTGAAATCGCATCATATGACCCCTTTAAATCATATCAAATAAATCTAAAATATTATCATCAATATTATTATATATCAATATCGACAATAAGCTTGTCCAATGGCAAGACAGTTTCAATCCCTTCTCTAGAAGCCTGTCACTCACATGAAACTCCAACCGACAAAATCAAGTCCCGTCCTACTTTTTTTCTTCATTCGATGAGCTTTTCACTCAGACATACATTTACAACAGGGAAGAGAAGTCATTCACAATATCTGGTTCAAGCCGACATTAAAGCAGCACTATGTAACTTTTTCTCTGTGCAAAATGTGTTAAATGTATATAATGAGCGAGTACATCATGAATTCATCTTCCAAACCGCGTTTTTGTCTTATTCCGAATCACTACGGTACACTTATAATAAGTACTTATATTCGGACTATTGTGGCCTGGTCACCGCTGCGGAGTAACACATACCTGCGTGAATCGCCAGAGACATACACTTAGAGAAGTAGCTCCGGTTGCAATGTTCTTCCGCGGGATGTGTGCAGTTCTGTTTATTAACCGCTGGAGCGCCAAAAGTTACACAGTGCTGCTTTAAAGGGAACTAAACATACGTCTGTGCAAACTGCACATGCTGTGACTCAATGAGAAAAGTTTTGAAGTACTGAAATCCCTCCAAATGAGGTGAATATGAAAAAACGAAAGAATAAAGGGTATTCCATTAGAACAATAATTTGCATTGACAATAATCCTTTGATTTAAGGAAATTTCACAGCTGTTGAAAATACCATTGCAATTGAGCCTTTTAAAAATGAATGATTAATTAACCATTTGACTTATTGAAACTCATCATATCTGAAATGATTTATGTTGAAACCTGTTAATATTTATTTTGATAGATAAATTAATATCTGATTAATTGCATTTTTAGAATATAATGTTAGTTTGACTTTACACAGAGGTGGGTTTCGTAGATTTTACACAAATGACTTGAACGTAGAGGCATTTTTCTTTCTGGAAAGCTGTATGTTTCACCTGTGCCCTTGAAGCTTTTCCTTATTGTCATTATAACTCCCAAACTAAAACTCTCACATTTGGGTATCAGAACATTTGTTGTATTCCTACATGGCTCTGTAGAGCACAAAGCCAGCAATTATGATCAACCTGTCGAAATCAATATGTAAAAATGTTCAGATTTTCCCAATACACTTGATCCCATCAGCACAGATTGCCCCACAGCCTAACAATGACACACTGAAGTTTGCGGTGATCTCGTCCTGTCCCAGTTTTTTTCCCCAATCTTTAATCTAATCTGAACTAATTTTGTCTGTCAACAGAAACTCCCACTAAGGTTATTTACTGCTTGAGAAAGCAGAGAAGAACACAATGCCATACCTTGTGGATATATTTCCTAGTTTTCCTTCATAAATCATCAATTTAAGTTCATAACTACAGCATTGGGCTGTTGTGAGTTGTGTGTATTTGTGCAAATGTTGGGACCCCTAAGCAGAGCACTGGCAAAATTCACTGGGACAAAACTTCTCTCTCTGGCCTAATTGAATTTTTTAGAATATAATGTTAGTTTGAATTTACACAGAGGTGGGTTTCGTAGATTTTACACAAATGACTTGAACGTAGAGGCATTTTAGTTTTTGGAAAGCTGTATGTTTCATCTGTGCCCTTGAAGCTTTTCCTTATTGAGACGTCATCATTACATCACTGAAAAGTATATAGCATCCATACAACTATATTCATAACATCAGACCTCATCGCAGGATCATTCTGAGACAAAGAGCCAATTCTATTTTATTTTTTAAAACAAAAGCGTGGAAGTATTATTATTATTAACTGTTCTACATTTATATGCAGGCTTATCACATAGGACATTGTGAGGGTTAGTAACACACAAGAGAACAAACGCACATGATCTTAAACCTGAATATAAGGTGCATGTTCTAGATCTTTTGACTTGGATGTCTCAGTTTGGTGTGAACGATCTGGAGATCTCAGGCGCCATCTAGAGGGCTTTCGCTTCCCTACACATCAATCCGCTGAAGTGATTCAGAGACAGAGCGCCCCCTAACCTGCTTTACCAAAATATTACATGTTCATCTTGAGTTCTTGTCTTGGGGATGCTACCAAGTCTTAGAATAGGCCTTGAAAGGAATATCTATGGCAAAAAAAAATTATTAGGAGAAGCCAGAATGCTCAGGGGCAGTAGCAATGTGTAAAAATGGTAATACTAAAAATTGATAAAAAAAACCGTGTGTATATGTAATGACAGTGATTAAAATAACCAACTTTTTGTCTTCTCATAGTTAACATTTCATGTATCACACTGAATGAATGAATGAATAAATAAACAAATAAATAAATAACAGCTTGCGATTTACCTTTATTTAACTTTGTTTGCCTCGCATATCAAATGTCTTACATTTTATCTGTATTTTCCATAACCAAGTACACTAAATAAAAATATATAGATTAATTAACAAACAAACAAACAAACATGCATGTCTAAAGTGACCAAGCAGGGACAAAAGTTTCCATTGTGGTATAAATGAGTTTATACCACATTTAGTTTATATATATATATATATATATAAAACCGTTTTTCTTGTCCTCGAATCTG